AGCCGGGGGCACGCCAGGGGCCCGGGCGGCCGCGGGAATTCGCATGTGGGCTTGTTTGTTTTTCTGCTCCGGCTAGCCCGTCCCGCCCCGCTGCCGTATGACTTCACCCCGGCTCCTTTAAGGGAGGGATTCGCCGCCTGCTCCAAACTTTTTCTCCCAGTTCCAGCCTCCTTTGTCCTGCCCAGGCGGCCGGGAGGCGGCAGGGGTCTGGCTGCTCGCCGCGCTCCCACCCGGTTCCTTTCGCCGGGGTGGCTCCTCGCCGGGGATCTCCTCCTCCTCGGGAGCCTTCGGCCTCACCCACCGCCCTCCCGGCTCTGCCGCAGGCTCTGTGCGCGGCCGTCACCACCAGTGACCTGGCGGAGACGCAGGCTCTGCTCTTCTGCGGGGCGGCGGTGAGCTGTGCCACCGGGGACCCCCAGTGCCCGACGCCCCTGGCCCTGGCCGAGAAGAGCGGGCAGAGGCTGCAGATGGAGTTCCTGCTCCACAACAAAACCTCAGGTAAGGGCTGGTCCCTTGAAGCCCCCATGGGCTTAAACCCACCGCCGGCATTCCTGGAGCGGGGGCGGAGAGATCCTGCTGGGCTCTGTGCACCCTGGGAGAAGGGAGAGGGGCTTTGGGGAGCCCCCTGCACCCTCGGGTCGGGGCTGGGTGGGGGCCGGGGAGGGAGGATCCTTCCCAGCCAGGGACACAGGTCCAGCGCCCCGATGGGGGTGCAGGTTGGTGCTCCGGGTGCCGGGAGGGACGGGGCCAGCTCTCCCACACCGTCCTGGCAGGCTGCGGGCATCCCCTGCAGCTTTGGGGATGTCCCCCTGCCAGACGGGCAGCATCCCCGCCGGGGCCAGGGGGGGTCTGACCGTTTTGCAGAGCATCCCCCTAAAAACCCCCTCCCCGTGCCGCTAAACATGCCCACCCCACCGCGCCTCGCTCCGGGTGGGCTGATGGCTCCCACGGGACCGATCCGCACCCTAGCGTGGGGCAAACCTCCGGCCCTGGAAAGCTCGGGCAGCCTTGGGAAGGAGGTGTGCCGGGGCCGGCCGGCGCCTGCCGTAGCCGCCACCTCCCCCACCGCCCCGGCAAGTCCGTCCCGCGGAAGCTGGAGTTTGCCCAGGATTGGGGCTGGCCCTGCCGTTCCAGACATGTCAGCACAAAAGGGGTCTGGGCCGCGCCGGTGAGCTGGAGAAAACCAAACCCCTGAGCTCATCCCGCCGGGGCCGGCGCCGGCGCCGGCAGGCATCTCCGGAGTGCCAGGATTGCTGGGGTCGAAGAGCCCAGCGCCGCGTGTGGAGCGGGGCTGGGCTGGTGGAGGAGGGCTCTGCATCCTCCTGGGTTTCCCCATCTCTAGAGCTCCGGGCAGCCCCACGGTCTGACCCGAGGGTGCTTTAGGGGTGTCCCTGCACCCCGTCTCTGCCTGGTCCCCGGAGGAAATGGGGGGATGCCTCTCGCCGGCAGGCAAGGTGGGGAAACTGAGGCAGGGGGGACATGCCTGTGGTCACACGGGGAGGCTGTGGCGGAGCCCTGGGCCGTTATTTCAGCTGCAGACCTGCGATGCTCTGCCCTTCTTCCGCGGAGCAGCAGGGACCTGGGACGGCCCGGGGGAGACTTGCCGGTGGGGAAGTCCGGTCCTCACCTTCCCATAACGTCCCCATCCCGTCACAGCTCAGTGCCTGGGGCTGGTCTGCAGGGGGGATGCGGGATGCGGGATGCGGGATGCCATCCTGGCTGATAAGCCTGACCCCGCTGACCCCCAGGCAGCCCCAGATTTGGGGGCCGGAGCTGTTCCTTGCACCTGAGCCGTGCCACGGCGGGGGCTCGCGGTGCGGTCTGTGGGATGCTTTTGGGCTCCCGCTTCTTGTGCTGAGCGGGGGGACACCCAGCTGCCTCGGGGGACTGGGGGCGGGATGTGGCCAGTGTCACCGCTGCAGCCCCCGTCCAGCTGGCCCCTTTCATGTCACATCAGCAAAGCACCCGGGGGACGACATGGACCGCTGTCACCCCGTCCCTGACCCAGCAGGGTCCCGCTGCATCCCACTGCATCCCATAGCTGCCAGGGCCCCCTCAGCCGCGCAGGGGGATTTATAATCCCTACTGGCAGCGTTTTGTGGGGGGGGTTCTGCAGGGGGGTGCAGCCCCCCCGTGACAGGTTGTCACCCCGTTTGCAGAGACGCCGCGCTTGGAGGTGGGGGGCAGCGAGGAGAAGCCCTACTCGGTGCCCCTGCCCTCCGTCACCCACAACGGCTTCCTCTACAAGACTCCCTCCATGGCCAAGCCTGTCGGCGAGCGGAAGGGCCAGGAAGGTATGTGGGGGCCCACGGGACTCGGAAATAGGGGTGCATGGGGATGGGGGGCTCAGAGCCGGCCCCAAAAGGGGTGCTGGCAGGGGGGATTGCACCATCCCCTGCTCCCCAGGGCACTGCAAAGGCACCAGGGAGGTGCAGAATCACCTGGCCAGCCCAGTTTGAGGGGTGGTCGCAGTGGGTGGGCACCCAGTGGGTGCTGCGGGGCCACCCAGGCTGGGCTGGTGGGCGACCTCAGGCTGGCCGGAGCGTGCGGGGCTGCCCAGCACCATCCTGTGCCGCGCAGAGTTCAGCCGGCGGTGGTGCACGCTGCAGGATGGCATCCTCAGCTACTACGAGAACGACCGCAACGCCGTGCCCAACGGCGAGATCAAGGTGGAGGAGATCGTGTGCCTGGTGAACAACCCGCCCCACGCCCACGGGTAAGGCCGTACCCACACACGCCGCCCTATAGCACCCCAACGTCCCCTCCGCTCCCGCAGGGCTGGGCATGGCCCCTGCATAGCTCATGGGTGGTGGCACGGGGCGGGGGCTGCTGTCCCAAACCCCACCGCTGGCCCCTCCGGCACTTGTGGCATGCCTGACCCAGCTGTCTTTGCGAGGAGTCTGTGTAAACCTCCTGCAGCCCCTCCGCAGCCCCTGTGCTCCCCATCGGAGCGTGCATGGCAGCACGGGGATGCTGGAGGGCCTGGGGACATGGTGGGGGGGATCCCAAATCGGATCAGCCATAGATGGAGCTGGTGGCAGATGTGCGGCGGGATGTTCTCCCTACCCAGGATGTCCCCGGCACCCAACCAGCTCCGTCCCACCACCCGCGGGCGTCCAGGCTCCCCTTTCCCTCCCTCCTGCAGGATCGAGAGCACGTTCGAGGTCTACATCGAGTCGGAGAGGCTCTACCTGTTTGGGCTGGAGAGCCCCAATTCCGTTCGGGAATGGCTCAAGTCCATTGCCAAGGTAGGATGCGGTGGGCTGGGGGTGGCCGTGGGTGCCGGAGGGAGCCGGGTGCCGTGGCGCTGACGGATCCCTCTTCTCCCCGTCTCAGTCCTTCGTCCACCCCCGCGCTGAGGAGCTGCTGGCTCTCGACTTCGAGCGGATCGGCCGGCTGCACTACAAGGGCGGCCTCAACCTGGAGCGAGCCAAGGAGGGCTGGTTCGCCCTGGCCGGCTCCGCGCTCCACGTCTGCTTCGAGGACAGCGAGCGGCAGGAGCCTCTCCAGCTGCGCAAGCTGCAGGAGCTCTGTGCGTGCCCCTGCCCCTCCGCGGGGTCCCCCCCCGCCCCAGGCTGGGAGGGACCTTGGGGAGGGTGTCCCCCAAATCCTGCCCTGAGAAGCTGGGTTGCACCCAGCCAAGGTGGGGGGGTGGTGGACGCTGCTCCGATGGAGCTTGGGGTCCTTCCGCCGGGTGGGATGCAGACACTTTTCCTCCTCTCCATCCTCTTCCCCATCCCTGGAAAGCTGCTGCTTGTCCCATTTGGGCTGGAGCTGGACCCGTTGGCACAGCCCCCCATGGCACATGGGGCTGGGGGGCAGGGGGGACCCCATGTTCCCGGGGGTGACGGACTCTCTGCCTTCCCTTCCAGCCATCCAGGGAGACAACGAGGTGCTGGTGCTGGTGGAGAGACGGAGGTACGAGCAGAGGGTGTGTGGGGGGGTTAGATTCCTCCAGCAAAATATCACACCCTGCCCAAGCCCCCCCTCCTCCTGGGGTGTCTTCGCCCTCCCCGCGGTGACTGGGGACCCCCAAAAGAGAGCTGGGACCATCCCCAGGAGCCCGGTGCCAGCCTTCCCGGGGGTCCTGGCCACGTGGGGCGGGGTGGGGGGGGCGCGGCTGGTCCCCTGCTGAGGCCGGGCTTGCCGGCAGAACGCTGTACATCCAGGGAGAGAGGAAGCTGGATTTCCTGGGCTGGGTCCACGCCATCCAGAAGGCTGCGGGCAGCTCGGGGGACACCTTGTCGGAGCAGCAGCTGACGGAGTCGGACGTCCCGCTGCTGGTGGACCGCTGCATTGACTACATCACCCAGTGCGGTACGTGCCATCGCCCACCGCCGGGTGCTGGCAGGGACCAGAGCGCGGCGTTCGGGTCACCCCATCAGTGTAGTGTGGCGCTGAG